ATAGGAAGAACACTCTTTGACATAAATCCCAGCAAGATCTTTTTTGATCCACCTCCTAGAGTAATGGAAATAAAAGCAAAAATAAACAAATGGGACCTAATGAAACGTGAAACCTTTTGCACAGCAAAGGAAACTGTAAGCAAGCCGAAAAGACAACCCTCAGAATGGGAGAAAATATTTGCAAATGAATCAACGGACAAAGGATTAATCTCCAAAATATATAAACAGCTCATGCAGCTCAATATTAAAAAAACAAACAAGCCAATGCAAAAATGGGCAGAAGACCTAAATACACATTTCTCCAAAGAAGACATACAGATGGCCAAGAAGCAAACGAAAAGCTGCTCAACATCACTAATTATTACAGAAATGCCAATCAAAACTACAATGAGGTATCACCTCATACCAGTTAGAACGGGCATCATGGGAAAATCTACAAACAACAAATGCTGGAGAGGGTGTGGAGAAAAGGGAACCCTCTTGCACTGTTGGTGGGAATGTAAATTGATACAGCCACTATGGAGAACAGTATGGAGGTTCCTTAAAAAACTAAAAATAGAATTACCATATGATCCAGCAATCCCACTACTGGGCATATACCCAGAGAAAACCACAATTCAAAAAGACACATGCATCTCAATGTTCATTGCAGCACCATTTACAATAGCCAGGTAATGGAAGCAACCTAAATGCCCACTGACAGACGAATGGATAAAGAAAATGTGGTACACATATACAACATAATATTACTCAGCCATAAAAAGGAACGAAATTGAGTCACCTGTAGAGACGTGGATGGATCTAGAGACTGTCATACAGAGTGAAGTAAGTCAGAAAGAGAAAAACAAATATCGTATATTAACACATATATGTGGAACCTAGAAAAATGGTACAGATGAACCTGTTTGCAGGGCATAAATTGAGACACAGATGTAGAGAACAAACATATGGACACCAAGGGGGGAAAGCGGCGGGGGTGGTCGTGTAATGAATTGGGCGATTGGGATTGACATGTATACACTGATGTGTATAAAACTGATGACTAATAAGGACCTGCTGTATAAACAAATAAATTAAATTAAATTAGAAAAAAACGTTTGTACCACGTTAAAAAAAAACAAAAAGAAAAAGAAAATGACTATACTACCCAAAGCAATCTACAGATTCAATGCAATCCCTATCAAACTACCAATGGCATTTTTCACAGAACTAGAACAAAATATTTCACAATTTGTATGGAAACACAAATGACCCGGAATAGCCAAAGCAATCTTGAGAAAGAAAAACGGAGCTGGAGAAATTAGGCTCCCTCACTTCAGACTATACTACAAAGCTACAGTAATCAAGACCGTATGGTAGTGGGACAAAAACAGAAATATAGATCAATGGAACAGGATAGAAAGCCCAGAGATAAACCCATGCATATATGGTCACTCTATCTTTGATAAAGGAGGCAAGAATATACAATGGAGAAAAGACAGCCTCTTCAATAAGTGGTGCTGGGAAAACTGGACAGCTACATGCAAAAGAATGAAATTAGAACACTTCCTAACACCATACACAAAAATAAACTCAAAATGGATTAAAGACCTAAATGTAAGGTCAGACACTATCAAACTCTTAGAGGAAAACACAGGCAGAACACTCTATGACATAAATCACAGCAAGATCCTTTTTGACCCACATCCTAGAGAAATGGAAATAAAAACAAAAATAAACAAATGGGACCTAATGAAACTTGAAAGCTTTTGCACAGCAAAGGAAACCATAAACAAGATGAAATGAGAACCCTCAGAATGGGAGAAAATATTTGCAAATGAAGCAACTGACAAAGGATTAATTTCCAAACTTTACAAGCAGCTCAATATCAAAAAAACAACCAACCCAATCCAAAAATGGGCAGAAGACCTAAATAGACATTTCTCCAAAGAAGATACACAGATTGCCAACAAACACATGAAAGAATGCTCAACATCATTAATCATTAGAGAAATGCAAATCAAAACTACAATGCGATATCATCTCACACCAGTCAGAATGGCCATCATCAAAAAATCTACAAACAATAAATGCTGGAGAGGGTGTGGAGAAAAGGAAACCCTCATACACTGTTGGTGGGAATGTAAACTGATACAGCCACTATGGAGAACAGTATGGAGGTTCCTTAAAAAACTAAAAATAGAACTACCACATGACCCAGCAATTGCACTACTGCACATTTACCCTGAGAAAACCATAATTCAAAAAGAGTCATGTACCACAATGTTCACTGCAGCTCTATTTACAATAGCCAGGACATGGAAGCAACCTAAGTGTCCACTGACAGATGAATTGATAAAGAAGATGTGGCACATATAAAAAATGGAATATTACTCAGCCATAAAAAGAAACAAAATTGAGTTATTTGTAGTGAGGTGGATGGACCTAGAGTCTGTCATACAGAGTGAAGTAATTCAGAAAGAGAAAAACAAATACCGTATGCTAACACATATATATGGAATCTAAAAAAAAAAAAAAAACTGGTCATGAAGAACCCAGGGAAAGATGGGAATAAAGACGCAGACCTACTAGAGAATGGACTTGAGGACACGGGGTAGGGGAAGGGTAAGCTGGGACAAAGTGAGAGAGTGGTAGGTTATATATGGACATATAAACACTACCAAATGTAAAATAGCTGGCTAGTGGGAAGCAGTCGCATAGCACAGGGAGATCAGCTCGGTGCTTTGTGACCAGATAGAAGGGTGGCATAAGGAGGGTGGGAGGGAGACGCAAGAGGGAAGAGATATGGGGATAGATGTACAACTGATTCAGTTTGTTATAAAGCAGAAACTAACACACCATTGTAAAGCAATTATACTCCAATAAAAACGTTAAAATAAAAAAGAAAGTTGATAAATTGGATTTCATCAACGTTTTAAAATTTGCTCTTCAAAAACACCATCGTGAAATGAATAAGCAAGCAACAAACTGAAAAAAAATATCTGCAAACCATATATCCAACAAAGGACTTATATCTTAAGTCCTTACAACTCAATTAAAAGATATACAACCCAGGGGCCTTCCCTGGCAGTCCAGTGGTTAAGACTCCGCACTTCCACTGCAAAGGGCACGGGTTTCATTCCTGGTCAGGGAACTAAGATTCCACATGCTGCACAGCACGGGCCCCACCCCCCCACAAAAAAAGAGATATACAACCCAGTAAGAGACAAATGAGCCTGAGATCTGAATAGGCTCTTTACCAAAAGAGACAGAAGGTAAAAAAGCACATGAAAAGATGCTCATATCTAAACTTGTCAAACTGCAAATTTTAAATATACTCAGTTACTAGACATTAATTATACTTCAACAAAGCTATTTTGAAATTTTTCAAAATAAACTTAAATAGCACTCACAAGAAAGCAAACAGATGTGCTCACGTGACATGCAATGGCTTGGACTGACTACAGATAATAACACTGTGTATCATGAAGGCTGATTTTAAAGAATGACATTATGATGGACTCTGTTAGTTTCCTATTTTATACCCAGTCTTCTTTGCTTCCTTATTAAAAGAACCTCAACTGTGTACAAGAAAATGTGTCCAGCTAAAACAAGCAGAACTCTTTATCTGTGGCTGTTTTACCTTTGTAATAGAGATGCCACCCCCTTCCCTCCTTGTCCATGCTGGAATACGGGAGTGTAGCATCTGTACTGTGACCACGAGGACACAAGCCAATACTAAGGATGGAGGGGGGAAAAAACGGGAAGGAACCTGGTTCCTTGATGACATCCACATGAGTCAAGTCCTAGACTGCTTGCCTCTGAATTTCTTGTTGAGAAAAGATGTCTTCCTTGTTTAAGCCATTATTTGTTGCTGTGTCTCTTTGTACATAGTTGATCAAAATTTGTAACATTCAGAGAATTTAGTTCAGAAGTGGGGTCTGAGGTACTAGTCACCCAAATCAGCCCTATGTCACTGTCCAATTTTATGGTCCCACTCTTTTCCCTACTAAGTCCTTTAACTTTTATAAGAGATCTAGTGAGATTTTAAACTCAATTTATGTTGTAATTCATCAACTCACAAGCTCAGGCTCTGTGTTTTGACAGTATCAGCCTATGACTGTAAAAGATGAGAAAACTCTCTTAGGGAAATCACAGAAACTTCCTGGGTTTTTTAATGCCTTAAGAAAGAATTCTACTTAAGTAAAATTTCTGAGTAATGGAGGGGGGGAAAAAAGAATTCTATACAAATCCTTGGCAAGCACCCATAGCCTCTCCTTAAGTGGGCACTTTATTCTAGGTAATAACTTAAGGAACTGTTTCATCACTGCACGATATTGGACTGCTAAAGTCACATCCTCTGTAACTAATTTTATCCTCACGGCCATCAAACCCAAACAGTTGCTACAACCAGTGTGAGATTCCCACATCTCTGAAGGTCTCCTACTTGCAACTAATCTTGCTATCAATTATCAAACAGGTCTGCCTAGTGATAGCATATTATAGAAATCAAATATAGAAATAATCTTTGGGTGGGCCTGAGACCCAGGTCCTAAAGGTATGTAACCAGCAATAATGCCCAATTACACCATGAGAGTTGTTCTAGCAAAAATACCATTTCCGCTGCTGCTCAGACCTGGATTCCAAAAGTCCAAGCAGTGCTGCCCCTGAAGAAGTGGGTTTTTCTGTTACCAGGCTTGCTGGTCAGTCTTCCTGCTCACTGCTACATATTCATATTGTTTACTTCTAAATCCAGGTCTTAGGTCACATGCCTGATCCTAGGAGATGGGAAGTATGAATCCTGTAATTTCATTGAGAAGAGAGAACCCTTACGTAGGAAACTATCAAAATGTAAGATGTTGTGCAGCCACAAATTGTAACTGTCCACCACTTACATTATTATCTTTACCATCTTTACCTGAAACATTTCACACAAGACACTTCTACACAGTGACAGTTAACTGCCCATCACCACTTTTTAGTCATACTTACTGAACGGGTACATTTTTTGGGGGGACTGCTAGAAAGTCCATCCAGTTGCCCGTGTTCACCCAGAAATCCTGTTACTTGATCCAAGAAAGAAGATACGTCTAACTGGTGCCACTCTACTAGCTTCTGACCTAAAGATTAAAAACCAGGATATAGAAATAAAATCAACACTCTTTCTAAATTCTCACTAAGTATTTCTTTCAGCATATACATAATTAAAATTTACTGGGAACATATCCCCACCCAACACCAGCTTAAGTTACATAGTGTCTTCATAACCTAGGGATACATTAATTATAACCAACCTAAGAGATTCCCAGCCATCATGATGGAGGAACTACTTTATCTACTGATATCATTTATTGCCATTTAGGAAGACGAGATTCAGAGAAAGCAATACTTATATAAAACTCAATCAATTAATAATAAACCCAGCTCTACCCTCTGCTTCTTTGGTGGGATTACAACCAGTACCTGAACAATCTTAACATTTTAGTGACCTAAGGGGATTCCTTACAAATCATAAGGAAGATAAACAGTTATTCTTTGAAAGAACAGAACTGCACAAACATAAAATACTACCATCTCCCAAAGTTGTTGGAAACATATTCCCTAAATACACACATCAATAGATGTTTAAATAATTCTAAAGGGCATGAACAAGAACCCTTCAACTAAATTACTACAAACAATTTTGAAACTGGACCCAGTCAAATACTAAAGATAATTTAGGTAACTGAAAGTTAAATAATAGGTTAAAGACCATAAGCTGAAATAACCCTTACCTGTCCGTGGATCCAAGATGGAAACATAGGGGAAATCCCCTAGCTTATAAAACTGTATGTATCTCTGACCTTCCTCACTGTCATGATAAACCTGTTAAATCATTGATATTAAAAAAAAAAATCAGCCTCTTAGAAAAGTACTAGCTATATTCTTGTTATATACCAACAGCAATTAAAGAGAAAATGAAGGCCACCTAGTGTGAACTCCCTCCACTTCCTGCCCTCAGTCACTTCTGAAACTTACATAAATATAGCAATCCATTCTTCCTCATTTCCCAGTTCAAAGAGGTATTGCTCTTCCTTTTCAAGTTATCTGTCTACCTATTTCATTCCTGACTCTCAACCACATATATCTTAATAAATCACAATATATTAAGATTGTAAGTTCAAGTGCATAGCATACTGCTAGGCAAAGAGATGCTCAATCAACAGTCGCTGAATAAAAGGTTACCATTCAGAAAAAAATTTACTGAATTTAGGGGCCTGTAAAACATGAACAGGCAAATTACTAACATTAATAGCATGTCTTACAGTGGGGAAAAGATTAAGTTCATTCAGAAGTATTGATTTTATAAAAAAAAAGTTTTTGGCTGTGTCACACAGCATACAGAATCTTAGTTCCCTGACCAGGGATCAAACCCATGCCCCCTGTGGAAGCACAGAGTCCTAACCACTGGACCGCCAGGGAATTCCCTATAATTTTTCATAATATAAACAATTGGAGCACAATCATCTACCCTTAGCTTGGTAATTTATATAAAAAGAAACCAGAGCCAGTAAGACTAAGTGACAAGTTTAAGGACATACAATTAAAGACTATCAAACTCAAGCTAAAATCCACGTCTTAGTCAAATGTTTTTTGATTACTTCAAGATCTTCTACAGTTCCCACTATCAATTTTTTTATAGTAGCCACTAGAACATGTGCTACTAAAGCATTTGAAATGTGACTAGTCCTAACAGCTGTACTGTAAGTGTAAAATACATACCAGATCCTGAAGGCTTAACACCAAAAAACAAAAATCAAAACACCTCATCAATATTTTAATATTAGTTTTATATTAGAGATATTGATTTTTAAAATATATTAAAATCAATCGCCTGTTTCTTTTGACCTTTTTAAATGTGGCTACTAGAAAATTTTGAATCACATTACATTTCTATTGAACAGTACAGCTGCACACTCTATCAAGACGTTCAAACTCTTCTGAGATATGAATACTATACGGTTTACACGGCTTGGTTCCTTTTTTCCTCCTTCCCTTCATTGCTGCCCTTTCACTTATCCTTACTATTTCAGCCATTATGGGTGGTTTTACTTCTTCATATGTCAAAATTTAACTCAGTTATGAATTATTTCCAGTTTATAACCCAATTCCTCTTCCCCGACATCCCATGTACCAAAGTAAAATACTACAAAATTTTTAATGAACTCTCCCCACCTGCCAGAAAATGAAATGTTCTCGGATAATATTCTTCACAGCTTCATTGCTCCATACGTCACGGTTGAGGCACTGGCATGCAAAGTCTTGTACATTCTGAATGTTTATCATCAGCCACTTATTCTGCATCTGGCCACACTCTTTGGCCTGTAAGAGTAAAGTTACATAATAATTGTTAGAAAGATTTTCTACTTGGTAACTGGTATGTTTCAGAATTCAGAAGCTGTCCTTTTTCCACATAAATACTAAGTTTTTTTCCCTAAGTATGGCATCTATAGCTTTCAGTGTCTAAACATTAATTACAGGCTTCCCTGGTGGTTCAGTGGTTAAGAATCCACCTGCCAACGCAGGGGACACGGGTTCATGCCCTGGTCCGGGAAGATCCCATGTGCCGCGAAGCAACTAAGCCCGCGAGCCACAACTACTGAGCCCATGTGCCAAAACTACTGAAGCCTGCACACCTAGAGCCCGTGCTCCACAGCAAGAGAAGCCACTGCAACGAGAAGCCCATGCACTGCAACAAAGAGTAGCCCCCGCTCGCCGCAACTAGAGAAAGCCCACGCGCAGCAACGAAGACCCAAAGCGGCCAAAAATAAAATAAATAAAATTTAAAATTAAAAAAAATTAATTACATTATTTTGCTTATATGTATATAGTTATATTGTCCATTTGCAAGCATTTCTCAAATTTAAATGAACTGTTTTCCTTTTATTCACTGTTATTTGTTATAGTAGCTGGATTTTTATTGTACATGTAAACATCTTTACCTGAAAAAGATTCCACAAACAAGGGCAACAAGTCACATAATTCTATTGTGCTGTCAACCCCTATCCACAAATATATCTCTCCTTTTTAATAGTTGTAACTAGTATGTGCATATTAGTTTATGTTGTTTTATTTTCTTCAATATCATTTTTTATAAACATTTCCAAATATATTCATCTCGATTATTAGGCATGTGGTATTTCATAGAATCACTCTAAATCTTTCAGTAAAAGCTGCTGAGGATTTTTTCTCTCAGGGTTGTTTTCCTAGGAGTGTATTTCAAAATTGAGATTTCAGATTCTTCATATGTCAAATTGAGATTACAGATCAAAGAATGTTTCAGAATAATCTCCAAAAGACTCCCCAATTTATAGCACAATTATCAATCACGAGTGCGTGAGTGTACACTTTCTTTTTTGCCTCACATTTCCTCATCACCATAATGACCTAAGAAATATTGCTGAACTGGCAAAGAATGGCAGAAAAGCAAATGAACAAATGCTACCTCAAACCTTTGCACAGAAACAATGAAATGAAAGCTATAGTTTTGAATAATTTTGTCCTGGAACAATATTTTTTTCCAAATCAGTCTGACATGGGAAAATCTTAAGAATCAATTAACTCAGGTTAACAACAATTGAAGAACATACATCATTTTCGAGGTACTGGAGAATATAAGAATATCTTTTGTTTTATAACAAAGTTTACACAGTCTTACAAAAATTGTTATCCTATTTTTCTGTACAAATCCGCCAGAGAAAATAATTTTATAATATTCATTACTGATTCCACAGGTGAAAACCCAAGTTCTAAAAGGAAATAGTCCTATATTGAGCCAGAAAGCTACAATTAACTGGTCAAAAGCTTATTTTTAAGTATACAAATTTAATAAAATAACTCTCTGCTTCTAGAAAGTAATAGTATTCCAGTTAATTCCTTGCCTATAGTAAGCACACAGATATGATAAATGGGAGATAAATGAGTAATTATATTGCTTTAACTGAAGAAAAAGTATTTGAGAATGAAGAAAAAAAAACACACTCTAGAGAGACAGATTGAAGAGTACATAATCCCTATAATAAAGTAAATTTATTAAGTCTGCCTCAACTACAACACTGACCAAAGAAAAGTATAACGAACTTCCCTGGTGGTCCCATGGCTAAGACTCCACATTCTCAATGCAGGGGGCCCACGTTCGATTCCTGGTCAGGGAACTAGATCCCACATGTCGCAACTAAAGATCCTGCAAGCCGCAACTAAAGATCCCGCATGCCGCCACAATGATCCCACATGCCGCAACTAAGACGCGGTACAGCCAAATAAATAAATATTTTTTTTAAAAAAAGGATAACACTGAAAAATAATAAAAGTCCAGAATTCAAAAACAATGGAGAGTCATTTGCTATTGTTTTTAAAAATTCATTTATTCACATTCACACTTTCATTCATTCAGATTCATTCATTTGACAAATATTTGAGGATCTATCATGTTTCAGGTACAGTTATAGATGCTGGATTTATAGCAGTTACCAAAACAAAAAACCCCTGACTTCATGAAGCTTACATTGGGAGAAACCTTATACAAGCAAAAGAAACTGGAAGATGTTGTTAAGAAAGTACTTCTAATATAAATCAAAACTACAATGAGGTACCACCTCACACCAGTCAAAATGGCCACATTAAAAAATCTACAAATCTGGAGAGGGTGTGGAGAAAAGGGAACCCTCCTACACTGTTGGTAGGAAGGTAAACTGGTGCAGCCACTATGGAAGACAGTATGTAGGTTCCTTAAAAAACTAAAAATAGGGCTTCCCTGGTGGCGCAATGGCTGAGAGTCCACCTGCCGATGCAGGGGACGCGGGTTCGTGCCCCAGTCCGGGAAGACCCCACATGCCACGGAGCAGCTAGGCCCATGAGCCACGGCTGCTGAGCATGCGCATCTGGAGCCTGTGCTCCACAATGGGAGAGGCCACAACGGTGAGGGGCCCAAGTACCGCAAAAAAAAAAAAAAAAACCACTAAAAATAGAGCTACCATATGATCCAGCAATCCCACTCCCGGGCATATATCCCAATAAAACTATAATTCAAAAAGATATATGAACCCGTATGTTCATAGCAGCACTATTCACAATAGCCAAGACATGGAAACAAGCTAAATGTCCATCAACAGGTGAATGCATAAAGAAGATGTGGTACATATATACAATGGAATACTACTCAGCCATAAAAAAGAACAAAATAATGCCATTTACAGCAACATGGATGCAACTAGAGATTATCATACTAAGTAAGTCTGATAGAGAAAGACAAATACCGTATGATACTACTTATATGTGGAATCTAAAATATGACACAAATAACCTAATCTAGGAAACAGGAACAGGCTCACAGACATAGAGAACAGACTTGTGGTTGCCAAGGGGGAGAGCGGGTGAGAGAGGGATGGACTGGGAGTTTAGGATTAACAGATGCAAACTATTATATATAGAATGGATAAACAATAAGGTCCTACTGTATAGCACAGGGAACTATATTTAATATCCTGTGATAAACCATAATAGAAAAGAATATGAAAAAGGATGTATAAATATGTGTAACTGAATCACTTTGCTGTGCAGCAGAAATTAACACATTATAAATCAACTATCCTTCAATTAAATTTAAAAAAAAAAAGAAATTACTTCTAGAAAGAAGGGCCCCAAAAAAGACACAAATTTCATGCAAAGCAGCAATGTCTGGAGGGAACATAAGAGAATCTTATATAATCTCACTAAGTATACTAGTTATATGAGTCAAGGACGAGAGGTGAGAGTGGGCCATGGGACAAATGATGAACCTTTCCTCTTGGAATTCATTAGGTTGTTCTAAATCAATATTCAAAAGCCATTACAGAGAAACCCAAGAGCAAGTGTGGCTATACCAAATAGAGAGGTATGTGACAGGGTCTATCTGTGATAATGGGAGAACAGTGAGAGAGTAACGTCTCTCCCAGTCCCAAACAGATCAGGAAAGTATGAAAAGAGGATACAGAGGAAAAGATAATTTGCTTGAATAAATATATATGCATAAAGTCAAAAAGGAAATATATTAAAATATGCACAATACTTTCTTATGTAAATGGAAACTACTATTATTTTTTCTTGCTGTTTTTTCCTATAATTTTTGCCTAATTTGAATAAAAATATAAGCTATGTATAGTTTATTTAAAAAAACTTCATCTTATGTATTTTGTTTCTGAATCAGTTCTTTATATTTTAACTAAAATGTTTTTACTTGCATTTATAGCAAGTACTTTTGAAGTTAACAAAGTACTCTTAGTAGGAGTAGGTGCATGTGCAATTGAATGGCAATTTTTATATTTTATTTTTATATTTTATAAACTTATTTTATTTTTGGCTGCATTTCCTCTTTGTTGCTGCATGCGGGCTTTCTCTAGTTGCGGCAAGTGGGGGCTACTCTTTGTTGTGGTGCGCAGCCTTCTCATTAAGGTGGCTTCTCTTGTTGCGGAGCACAAGCTCTAGGCACACAGGCTTCAGTAGTTGTGGCTTGCAGGCTCTAGAGTGCAGGCTCAGTAGTTGTGGCGCATGGGCTTAGTTGTACCGCAGCATGTGGGATCTTCCTGGACCAGGGCTTGAACCTGCATCTCCTGCACTGGCAGGCGGATTCTTAACCACTGCACCACCAGTGAAGCCCTGAATGGCAATTTTAACAAATAAACATGTATTTCTTATGAAAATAAGGAATATTATGGAAATTGTTCTGATTCTTTCTGTACAATATACTCTAGATTATACCACTCAATAATTTAACAAAAACTTAATGAGGGACAACTGTGTGCCAGACACCCCTCTATGCACTGTGAATATACAACAATAAATAAAACAAAATCCCTGTGTTCATGGAACTTACATGCTAATGGGAAAGAAGAAAACCTAAGAAATGTTCCCTTGCCCGGGTCAGATTATTCATCCTAAGTCCCATGCTCACTCAGCTCCAGCTACACTGGTTTCCTGGGCTGTACCAGAAATTTGCCCAAGCTCTTTCCAACACCAGTGCCTATACACTTAACTGTTTTTCTGCTCTTCCCTGAGACCCTTCTATGGTTTACATTCCCTCACTTCTTTCAGGTTTCTACTCAAATCTCATTCTTTCAGAAATATATCCTCATCTTCCTATCTGAATCAGTCCTCTCTCATCACAATTACAAAAGTGTGTGAAACCTATGAAATCAACCTTGCTTTTCATTTGCCTATAAGAGCACATGCACCTTAATGTCCCCAAACAGAATAGTCCTCTCTTTGTCCTTCCCTTATTCTATTTTATTCTTTCTCCCAGCAACTACTGTAACCTGAAATTTCTCTGTGTCAAACACATACATACAAAAATATATACATATATATACAC